TCACTTTGGTCTTTTTTTTTGGTGATATAACATTAATTTCCTAAGATATGCAGGAGTTGGAACACAGGTGTCCTAGTTCTTAGTCTAATAAAACACAGTCCAGAAGTTGCCTGGAAAAATCAGATGCCCAGAGGGCAAGGGATGATTTTGAGGCTCAGAAATGCACCTTGCCTAGAAAACTTACTCACACCAAAAGACACAGCCAGCACAAAATGAATCATGGGAACATTTTAGCAGAGCAAACTTATTTGCCTGGACTCCATCAAAAGAAAATTTATCTCTGGCCTATAAAAGTCTACAAAATTATGTGTCAAAGAGACTGAACTGATAAATGAGTTGGATGGCAGAAGATCTAACCCACTAAAAATACCAAATTGTGCCAGGGCCCAGGAACCACAGTGAACATTTCACATTTAAATCTAATCTGTGTGTAAAGAAAGGAGATTCAGGCAGAACTAAAATTAAAAACTCAAATAAATTATTAATAAAGATATTTCAGGGAGCTCTCCAATACACCCCACATTTTTAGAACTGAAAAGAAAGCTTTAAATTTAAAGGGCAGAAAGGAATGAGAGAGACACATATGTTGGATTTGAATCCCTCTGTACTTCAGTTTGAAATTCTGTGAGATCAGAGGGCTCCCACATAGAACCAGAATTCACCCAGCCATGTGGTGTCTTTTAGCTGGTCTCAGTAAAAGAACAAAAAAAAAAAACAGTTAGGCAAATACTTCTGAAAAATCTGAATGCTGCAGAAGAACTTCTTATCAAAAGATGCTCCCAGCTCCACCAGGATTCAGAGGAAGAATCATTCCTAATAAAAACAGACACCATGAACACTGGGCATTTAACTGGAACACAGTCACACTGCCTGGAGACAATATCTGAATTATCATAAATCACAGGAACACCAAATGTCAGGGAGACCAGCACAGATGGGCTGGAGAGAGCTGGGGGTGTTCCCACCCCTGGGTGCTCCCTGTTTGCAGAGCACAAGCACACCTGGCCAGGCCAGGCTGTCCTGGGGCACAGAAAGCCCATGCTGGAGAGAGCAGGCTGCTCACCTGAGCTGCTCCCATTACAAATCAAACCTTTTTAAAACAAAAAAGGAAATCCGAAAAAAAAAAAACGTAATTAAACCCACCCAATAGAATTAAGCAGCAAAACCACTTAGTCCTGCCTCGTTACAGCCAAAAGTGGTTTTTTACAAGAGCTGGAGAAGACTCTGAATACTTTTCTCCAGGTCTTGTAGACAGTATATATTCACTATCAGACTGAGATCTTCTATTTGTCAGTATTTTTATATTCCTTCAATAAGACAGAAGTGGCTAAAAATTACCAAAAAAAAAAAAAAAAAAAGAAAATCCCATCCAAAAATCCTGTTAAATAGATTAACCAGCAATCAGCTCTAATTCCAAGTGCTGCCAACAGTGCCAGTTCCAGGAAAAGGAAGAGGAAAACCATCCCCTAACTGTTATGTCACAACCCAGC